GCCTGGGTTACAGCCTTCACTGAGAAGGGCAGTAAAATACACACATTCACGTCAAAGTAAACGCACGCCAAGGTCTCACCTGAAGAGATGTACGACCTCCAGAAGATGCGGTTTACATGACCAAGAAGGGAGGGAGTAAAATCACAAAAACTTTAAAAATGAACTAAAAAAAGAAACCCACTAAGAGAAATACTCTATTTCAAAATAAAGAATTTCAATGAAAAGAAAAAGCATCTAAAATTGACACTCGATTAGAAGTGACCCAACATGGAGAAGCCTGACAGAGGAGAATGCAAACGGGGACAGCAGATCAGGAATGAGAAGTGAGGGCACCATCTCTGAAACGGCTGGCTACCATCTAAAGCATCTTCGTTTATAAAGTTCAAAAAGCAAGTGCTTTTAAGGCAGAGGAAGCTCTAATAAAACTGCTTTTCTGGTTGTTTTTCAAAACCTGCTTCATAAATCTGAAGGAAAAAAATGCTGGCATGAGCTAGTATCTTACTACTAACAAAGTTTATATTTCCTCTTGAAAAGACAGCAAGTCGGCCAGGATAATGAAGAAAATGCTCAGTCTGAGGCACATATTTATTCTATAATGTATTATTCACGTCCGTCAGTACGATAAGAAATAGTTTTCCCCCCAATGCAACGCCAAAGGCTGGCCTGAGGGACGGCTCAACCGCAAGCTCCTACCTCCTTAGCACTGAAAAAGCAATGCTCCCCCCAAAACAAGGGGAAGCCCGAGACTAGAGGCACACAATTTAAATGAAAAGCAGAGAAAACATCTACCATCTGAATTTTTAAGTGAGACAGAGAGAAGATAGCAATTATGACAACAGGCAGACATGGCCTGTGCATTTTGAGCACATAGTCTTACCACCACCTCTTTGCAAAATCCACCAGAGGCATTGAAGTCTGGATCCAAAGCACAGAAAGCAGACACACTGTGCAAGGACTCTGAAACACCTGTAAAAACTGACCTCAGACTAGGCCACAAAGAAAGGCTTAATTCCAAATAATCGATACCATACAGACCATATTCCTTGAACATGAAATTTCATTACAAATTGTCCATAAAAAGACTTTCTAAAAACCCTTATGTTTCAAAACTAAAGAACAGGCTCCTAAATAGCCCACATGATAAAAAAAAAATAAAGCATTTCAGATTAAAATTCAAGAAATTTTTAATATTAGTATTTAATAAATTTAAATAAAGCACGCTTAAAGAGAAATGTATAGCCTTGGGGCACCAGGGTGGCTCAGTCGAGCATCCGACTCTTGATTTCAGCTCAGGTCATGATCTCAGGGTCCTGAGATTATGCCCATGTTGGGCTCTGTGCTCAACACAGAGTCGGCTAGAGATTCTCTCTCTCCCCTCTGCCCACCCCCCGCTCACATGCACCCCATGCGTGCACTCTAAAATAAATTTTAAAATAAAAAAAAAAATGTATAGCCTTAAACATATTCGTTTAAAATGACAAAGACTAAAAATGAACGAGCTAAGTATTTTACACAAGAGAATAAAAACGTAAATAACCAAAGAAATTAAAAGGAAAAATAAAGAAATCAATGAAATGAAAACAAAAGTGAGTATCTACAAAACCAGAAGTTGAGTCTTTGCTAGATGATGCCTGTTTCAGTAGTTTCTTTAAAGTCTCATCAAAGGAAAAAAAAACCAAAATTTTTGGAAGAAAAGGGAAACTGTTAACTATAGATATATTTTTAAACTCGTAAAAGCACCGCTGAAACATCTTGGTGCCACGGCTTTGTAAAATGTGAAGGACACAGTTCCCTGGAGAAAGGCTGGGGAGGGCTCGGCCAGGCTCTCCCTCCCACAGCAAAGCTTCCTGTCCCGTGTGCAGCCCACACGTGGGGGATGTGCCACTTCCAGAATCCCTTGGCCCCCGGCCAGGCAGCCAGCCTCCTCCACTCACCCATGTGCCTTGCAAATATTATCGTTTTTGGAGCGTGCCAGACAGGGAGAAAACTTGGCAAATTCTAGTCTGTGTGGAAGCCCTGATCATTAGCTAAGCGAACCGAGGCCTGGAGTAACTATTTCACTTCATGGTCCCTTCGTGGCAAAGATCTGGCCAGTACCATGGAAGTGGCAGTGGGATGCACAACTTCCAAGAAGTCATCTCCAAGGAAAGGGGTGTGCTCCTCTCCTCCTCTTCTCTACCCCTCCCCTCCCTTCCTGCTGGCTGCACCTGGACAGCCTCCTTGGGCCATGAGGTGCCCTGAGGGGCCCTGAGGCACAAGGGTCACAGCTGTGGGGTGACGAGGCAGAAGGCATCTGGGCCACAGCCACCTCCAGACTCTGACTCAGGCGCCAAAGCACTTACCACCTCAGTTAAGCCACTAATGCCTTAGATCGCTCCTTCACTCACAGGTCAACCCAATCTTAACTGATTCTTAGAGATTACCAAAAGAAACTCAAAAAGAAATAGAAAAATGGAATATACCCACTCAAGAAATTGACCTGGTAAAACAAACAGAAATGACTAGTTCAAAGGAACAGAAAAGCTATAGCAAGTTGTCAACACTAAGAAAAGAGCAAGAGGAGAAACCAGCAGTCAGGATAGAATAATCATCAGCCATTAAGGAAATGCAAATTAAAACACCAAAAATTAGAAAGACTGAGCATTCCAAGTGTTGATGAGGACGTGGAGGAACTGGGACTCGCAGATGCTGTGGTGGAAATGTAAACAATGCAACCACTTTGGAAAACACTGGGCAGTTTCTTAGAAAGACGAACATATGCTGACTGTGTGAGCCAGCAGTCTCGCTCCTCGGTATTGACCCAAAGGAAAGAAAATCTCTGTCCGCACGGGACTCACATGTGAATGTTCTCCATAGCTTTACTTGCAAAGGACCCAAACTAGAGACAGCCCAAACGCTCCTTACCTGACAAATGGACACACACCCTGTGGTACGTCCATACAGTGCACGACCCAGCAATAAAAAGGAATACTGTTACAAAAATAACATATCATCAAAATAATCATGACAACTGAGAGCAGCCTGAGCAAACAGGAGCACATACATTCCTGGGAAACACAGACCAGAGGGACCAAAAGCAGAGCAGCAGCCGCTGGGCCCTGGCGGGAGGGGGGGCATGGGGAGCCGTGGCCGGAAGGGGTCCCACAGGGCACAGGCCACTGTGGGGGGCAATGCACACATCCACCGTGCTGACCGTGGATGGCCCAGACACGTGGAAACAGACTCTCATTCCACGGCCCAGCCACTGGGGGAGTAATTTGGCCGTAGCTGGTGAAATCGAAGCTCCGCACACGCTCTGGCACAATTCTGAGTCTGGGCGTGGACTCTAAAGCAGGATCGAAAACTCCAGCCCCAGGCTGGGTCCTGTTGCTGTGAATCAAGCCTCATTGGAACGGAGCCACACACAGGTGTTTACTGCTGTCTACGCTGTGACTGCTCTCAGGTTCTATCAGCAGAGCTGAGAAGCTGCGACAGATCGTATGGCTCCTTAGCCTAAAATATGTCCTGTCTGGCCCCCACGCGCCGGCTGACAGTGAAGGAGCCCGTGAGAGTTTGTGACAGGGGAAGGCCACTGAACCTACGCCCACCAGCACAGGAATTAATGAAGAGATACTGGAAAACCAGTCATCAGTTCAGATGAATGACCCAGATGCCCAGGTCTCCCCACAGGGAGGGTCTCAGAACAGGATGCTGCCCGAAGAAAGCACCTCGCCTAACGTATCCGCAACAGGGCAAGATGAAAACCCGCAGAACAGAGGCAGCTGCGTTTAAAGCAGGTGACTGACTGCTCGAGGGCCGGCGGGGTTGGGGCCGAGGCAGAAAGGACATCACCTTTTCCTTACATTTTCATTTCTTTTATTTTAAAAACTCTAAGATGTTTTTAGAAGACCAGTCAGTGAAATTCAACTCCGATGTTTCTGAGCATCTGTAACAGACAGCGCCCCAACTCTGAAACACTGTGCTCTTTTAAGGCAGCACGTGTTCACCAAACAAGGACACTGTTTCCTTTTATCTTCTAAAGTCAGAGTACCCACTCTGAAATGTACTCTTCAGTACACAGCCCGAAGCACAGCCCTCGTGTGCTCTGCATGGAAAGCAGGGCTATAAAATTTACACCAACTGAAGCCTCGAAGGTTGCCCACATCAACAGCCTGGAGGGACACACTCAAGGTTTCCGAGTGGGTCCCAAAATACCAGGGACACAGGACAACCCTACGAAAAGGACTAGGTTAAAATGCCACAGCGAGACAACAGCCTGCATAAAGGCGGTCCTCCTTCCGGACGAGGCAGCGGGGGCGCCGTCAGGCAAAGGCCTGCACAACACTCTTCTCCTGGGACTGTTCCCGCGCCCCTCCGATGTCGTTCGCAACTGTCCAGTCCCCTCACTGGCTGTTTCCGGCCACGTCTTCATGAAAAACTAGGACATTTTAGGCAGAATTATCTGTGTATGTGTCTGTCAGCTGCCGATAAAACTATCCAAGAAATGTCTTCTGTTACAAAATCAGTAAGTGAGGATATATTCTCATTTTTGGAAGTGGCTATAGCAAACCTAGCCATGACATTTGAGGCATGCTATGTGGCCTGCAGGTATTCACCCCAGGGTCACATGCTCAGGGGCGGTGGCTGGCAGGAAGCTGTGTGTCCCAACAAAACCACATCCCACAGCTGCAAGGAAGACGGCTGGGAGGCCAGGTTCCAAAAGCACCCGGATCTAAAAGCCAGACTTGAAAACTCCCCAGTCTCTAATTTTGCAATCAGCCAGGGCCAGGCGCCCAGCCTCCCAACTCCGCAAGCAGGGGGAAGGGACTGGACAAGGCAGGATGGCGACAGCCACGGGGTCAGAGCAGAACAGGCCTCTGGCCTTGATTCCTGAGCCCCCACCCAGGACACACTGGAGGAGCCCTGAGTTTTCTATCCTCCCAAACGAGGAGGTGGGAGGGAACTTTGAAGTCCGTCAGCAGACTCTGCTGATCAGCACATGTGCATAACTCACTCCTTACCTTCTCTCCAGGTCTGGGCGCCCGCTGCAACTTCTCATAATCTTTCTTGGTCTCCAGAATTTTTTTCACAAGTCCTCCTGTTGAGAATCAGTGGTTTTATGTTATTCTCTAAGGATCTATTCTATTCTAAATGGGTAGAGGGGTATTCTTCCTCTTTCTATACTGAACACAGCTTCAAATAATCTTTATTTGATAAAAGAGTCTACAAGAGACTGATATAGCTGGTGGTGGAAATTAACCATAAAATCTTAGAGTGTTTCAAAGAAATCAGCTCCTGAAAGGTAAAAAAAAAAAAAAAACAACTTTGGAAATAGAAAACAATTATGAGGGCGCCTGGGTGGCTCAGATGGTTAAGCGTCTGCCTTCGGCTCAGGTCATGATCCCGGGGTCCTGGGATCGAGTCCCGCATCGGGCTCCCCGCTCTGTGGGAAGTCTGCTTCTCCCTCTGCCTCTCTCTCTCTCATGAATAAGTAAATAAAATCTTTAAAAAAAAAAAAAAAAAAAAAAAAAAAAAAAAAGAAAACAATTATGAGGAAATGTAGATTAACATTCTAAAAGATAAGCATCCGTCACAAACAGGTGTGACAATTCTGAGCTGTTTCTAAGCACAAATACTCCTTTTATACTAGGGTAAGAGTCTTCAACGTCCTTTAAAAAAAAAAAGAAAAAAAGAATTGCCTGTGGGGTAAATGCCACACAAAACATTTTCTTTAGACTACTGTCTCATCCAAATGCGCATCCACATGAAGCTGGCCGCGCACAGCCTCGCAGCACCTGGACGGAGGAGGGCGCGCCGTGAGCAGCAGTGAAGACTCGTCCGCACCGCTAAGGGACGGGCGTCAGTACACGCCGCCAAGTCGCAAAAGCACGAGGGAGACGTGGAGGTACTGGTAAGAACACACACGCACACGTATTAACTTGTAAGTTTTTAAATCAAAGTATAAGCCATATTTCTTACTGTTACCTACAGGGGGAGAGGGGAGGGAGAGGACAGGGTGGAGGCCCCTAATCTCAGAATATATCTTGTTTGGTACATTTGACCATGGAAATGTGTCTATTTTACATAAATAAAACAAAATTAAATTAGATTTTTCAGTGCCTAAAAACTGAAACCAAAATGAAACTAATAAACTTAACAACATCAAACTGGCAAGCATAGCCTAACAAAGAATTGTTCTGTAACTTTACAACAGGGTAATTGGTTGTCCATCCCTGATGGGAACATACCTGAGAACAGACAGACCCCGAGAAAAACCCTACAGTGTCCCCAGTAATCTGTTGTCACTAATAGCCGGTGGTGTTCTAGAGGTGCTGTGAGTGCGTGCCAGCCACAGGGCGAAGCAAACAGACGACTGACGCTGGGAGCCAGGACTTTTGGCATGAGACAGACATGCATGTATAAACTCAAAAATTTAGGAAAGACTCTAGAACAGTAAAGCTGCACTGGAAATACCAGTATGAGCTTGGATATGTGTTCTCATGTAAAAAAAAAAAAAAAAAGGTAAGAAAACCCCTAGAAACAACGACCAACCCAGAAGCAACACGCAGCCAGGCTCCTTGGAGAAATGGAGGGTTCCAGCCTTGGAGCAGGAAATACGCAAAATGAGCCTGAAACATCTGGTCCTCTCAGAAAACAAGGAAGCTGCAAAGTCTCCCAGGATGTGTCAAAAGGCCCCAGAGAACTGCTCCAACAGGCTCCCACTGATTACATACTAGACAGTCTGAACGTCGCTGACAAGAACTGATCTGGCGTGAAACGAGGCCCATCGAACACGTTAGAGGAAAGCCCATGATCTCATACAGATATCGTACAGATACCAGCAACCACCACCCCACACGCCCTCTTCAGTCAGCGTTGATGGCACCGGGACACAGACTCACTCTGAGGAAATCCCTCCTCCTAGGGGCTACGCCACGGCACAGGCAGAGGCTGGGGGCGGGGGGAAGCCCTGCACCACCGTGTCATCCAGCCAAACCTCGAGGAAGGGAGGGTGGGATGAGAATGTCGCCATCTTGCAACCCTTAATGATCCAGGCTAACGTCACAAGCAGACGTCAGGAAGAACCAACACCACCTACTAGTATTCCTGCCCCAAATCTGCATCTGATCAAGTCTCTGGAACCAAGTTACAAGAATAGAAGAATATGTAAAAAACCATACCACGCGCATGTAATGAGCAACACTCCACTATGGGAAACTCTAAAGGACAAGCAACCAGCTTCCTGTGCAAATACATTACAAGGGAAAAGGGAGGGACGGCCGTACAGGTTAAGAGAGACCTAAGAGTTAGATCGATTGACTCCAAAGCAGGGACCTTATTTGGATTCTGAATCAAACTAGAAAAAAATATACAAAGTAACTGGAAAAACTGATGATATCAAGAAATTGTTTTGTTTTTGTTTTGTTTTTTAATATACAACAACAGAATCATGGTTATGTTTTTTTGAAAGAGAGCCCTTATCTTCTAGAGCTACACCGGACACGTTAAGCGAAGAAACGATCTTCTCTAGGACTTGAGAACAGTCTAGGGGAACAGGGGTCGGCGGCAGGCAGAGGCTTAGAGAAAACGCGAGCCGATCACCATTGACACCGGGTGACGAAGGGGTTCATTGGACTACTCTCTCTGCTTCTGGAGATGTTTGAAATCAAAGAAGATACTTGGGAAGAGGACAAGTACTATTACAAGTGTTGTCGATTTGGGAACGACCCCAGAGGTCAAACCTCTAATCTAACTGCACACCACGTCGGAAGCTGCTGACAGCAAGCCCCAGGGTCCCGGGGCCCAGTGCCCATGGTCTCCCAGGCTAAACCCACCAAGCGAGGAGGAGCCCATCCGTGCCCCGGTGTCCCACCGATGCTCATCAGACCCCTGAGCAACACGGGGCGCCCCACCCACAGTCGCGCCCGCCACGTCCGGCACTCACCGTGCTTCTCCTCAGCCTCCACGTCTACTACAGGGACCTGGGCAGGAAAGCAAGGAGGAAAAAGCTGATTCTCGATATGCTGCTTCCATGGATCTCCTCAAAGCAATGACAAAATTAAAGAAGGCAGAAATCTGACTGAACAATCAGACGTTTTGTCTACGTGCACCTAAATGCTGGAGTAGGAGTTCCAGGGCCGTCCAAGGGCAATGACAGAAACCGAAGCTCCTGTTAGCTCACCATTTCCAGTTCTGACATCTCAGGAAGCTGGGGGGCAGCCTCCACCACAAACTGACCGTCTTCCTCATTGTCAGAGTTCTGCGCATCTACAATCACATTGGCAACGAGTTTACCACTCCCTGTCCTAAGAAGAAAAAGAAATTAGGTTACAAGAGAAGGGCTGCTGGTCGCATGTCTGCATCAATCCCCTGCATCCCAGGCTCCATGGGAGGAGTTTAACCACCACCTACCTCTAGAACGTCACAAAATACAGGCAGAAGCTGAGTGAAGACCCAGGCCTGGCCCCCGCCCCCGGTGGCCTCTCTCCACCACACCCAGCCCCCACCCCACGCCCGGACCTCACAAGGGCCCTCCGAGCCTCACTCCTCCCCTGGCTGCACTCTCTGGACACCAGCCCTCCACCTGCAGCCCCTCACCTGGAGGGCCCTATTCTTCCACATCGCTAACATCAGGGCAGGGGTGGCGATGTGGCCCCAGACCCCTGCTCCAACACAGCGGCCTCCTCCTGGCTGCCAATCCCTGCCCAGCACCTCCTCTCCACCAAGTCCTACCATCGCTCTGCGCCAGTCCAACACCCAACTGCCTGGCCACCAGGCCTGGCCCTGTCCTCCCAGGTGACTACCTCCATCCGAGGGGACCTCCTGTGGCCACCCGCTGGAACTGCCCCACCCACTGTCACCCCACTGCAGGCCACTGCCAGCTGCCCTCTGCTTATCAGGCCCTCACGCCCACCACACTGTGCCTGGGTCACAAGGCTCCAGACCCAAATACCCACCAGCTCCCATCAGCCCCACCTGCCTTCACTTCTTTCCTACCAGCTTAGCATAACCACGCTTTACCAAGTGCCCTTAACTCCCCTGCCCTACGATCGCTCTAGCACACAGGCCACACGTGCGCACGCACACACGCACACCCTTTCCCTTGCTTCAGGACAATACATAAGGTCAGGAGGAAAACTGCACTTGCGTATAAGCTCTCAAAACAGTGCACGTTTGTCCCAAACACCCTCGGCTCCTCTGCCGGGCCCTTCAACCCTCACGAGCAACGTCCTGCCTCCACCAGGGCCAGCCTCACCGCACCCCGTACCTCTCCCACGCCCTGCGCCCCTCGAGCCCCTCCCACCACCATCCCTCATCAGCAAGCCCTCTCCATTCTCCCCCGCCTCAAGCAGCACCCTCCCGTGGCCAGGCCCAGAGGGAGGGCCAGCGTTCTCCTTGTGCTTACTGTGTCTTCCAGATTATTCCCTCTAACGTCTGCCAACTCTGAAGCCACACCACCAGCCTCTCTGGCCCTCAACCCCATTGTTACTGCCATCCCCTGTCAGCCACCAGGCATCCCTCTGCACTCCCGGCTGCCAACACTGCCGCTGATCGAACTGAGAAGTGGCCCTTCCCAAAGCCTGGCTCTAGGACCCCCAAGCCTTCCTGCCACCATCCTGCTTCCATCACAGCCACACACCCAGGGTCACCCTGGGGCGCTGCCACCGGCAGCAAGCCCCAATCTCAAATCCGAGCACCCCACTCGTGCACCACCACTGCCCGCATTTCCATCTCTGTGCCCGCCCAGTGTCTGCACCCAGCAGCCGCCCACAGCTGGAGAACAGAGTCCACAGCAACACCGACTCCCGTCACTTCACCCGACGTGCACCGGAGGCGGCCCAGCGTCCTGCTTCCGCACGCCGCACCACAGACCTCGGGGCCTGCGGTCCTCTCGGTGGGGCTGCCTGTCCACTGGGGATGTCTGGCGGCATCCCTGCCCCACTCCCTAGCTAGATGCCAAGAACCTTCCCTCTAGACCCTCCCGGTCCTGATGCTACTCAGGGTCTCCAGACACAGCCCCACAGGAGGCTGGGGGTGGGGGGGACACGACCCCAGATGAGGACCCTCTGCTCCAGCCCAGGCAGATGCCCGCTCTCTGGGAGCGCAGCTCCAGGCCTCCCCGGCCACACTCGCTCTGGGCTCACAAGACAAGTGGGGCTCCAGGGGGCACTCAGCTTCCCGAACTCACCCACACGCCAAGTCTCCACCATCTTCTCCAAAGCCAGTCCGTCTGCGTCCCCTCACCACTCGGGGACACTGTTCCAACAACCCTCCCACCCCGCGGCCCCTACAGCACCAATCCCCCGTCTCCAGTGGATCGGTCCCGTCACCAGTCTCCTCATCGCAAAAACAGGAGCGAGTCACATTCCCGACACCATCCCTCCCGCCACCTACGGTGTCCTTCCTTCATGTCCCTGACAACAAGGCCACACCTGTCTCCAATTCCTGTCTCTGCTCTATCACAAACCACTCTGGTCCAGCCCGCTTTATTTTCCTATTTTTTGGGTTTGATTATCTGTATTTTCCTCTAAAGATCACACTACATCCACAGGGATATTTGTAACACTTAGAGAACCCTGTCTGTGGCTTGCTTTTATATCGTTTAGGACTTTCTGACCTTTTGTTTTACATTTTTGTACAATTAAACCTTGAAATCTTTTTTTCCTAATTTTCCCTCATCGCTTTTATGCTCAGAAAATCCACCCCCACCTTCTCTCAAAGAATAATTTCCCCATGTGCTGTAAAGCACGTTTTCTCTTCAGCTAACTGAAGTGTGTGGTCGGCGTGTGGCCTGAAGTCAGGGCCTGACCCGGCTTTCCTCTCCTTCTCAGCTGGCAGCGGCCCTGCCCCTGCCCCTGCACCCCACCCCCAGCACAGCTCCCAAAGGAGGCCTCACCTGTCTGGTGTCAGCGCCTCCACACTGTCTTGGTGCTTCACCCGGGGAGGTGCTGGTCTCGCGCTCCCAGGCCGAGGTATTCTTCTAAACCCAAACATGGGAAAACCAAAAAGGGGATATGACACACTTGCACATTTATTAAAAGTGCACGACAGAAAACCCAGGTCAATGTTACTGCTAATTTCCCACCATCAACATGCTAATCGGGACACAGTCTGCAGAATGTTAAGAACATTCCATTAATCTGACAGGTTTAAAAGTATCCGTCTCTTAATCTTATGTTTTCATTAATTTTAAGGCTCAAAAAGGAATCATGTAACTCTCAGTAATCAAAACATAATTTACCATAATTATGAATTTCCCTAAACCTTTAAAATGTCCTACGTGTAATAACTTATACCCAGTATAGGAAAATTAAATAAATGGTTTCTGCTTTCTTTGTACAAGTATTTCCTCATAATTGAACTCAAGCACTAAACAAACTGCAGAAGGTGCAGAGAGAAGCAGGCAGCGGCCTGGGCATTGGACAGGAGCCCACGGACCTGATGTTGGCCGGGAGCTCACTCGGCAGCTCAGAACTCTCAGACACCTCGGGCTTCTCTGGGCCAGAAGGTCCCACTTCTCCTTCTGAACCATGACAATCCAGTGAGCAATTCACAAAGGAAGAAACACAAACAGGTAATGAGTATTTGAAAAGACAGCAATTAAATAATCGCAAATATAAATGAGCTTTATTCATCTATCATTTTCATGAAGATAAAACACATTTCTTATCTAGATTCGGTAAGATCTGGGGAGATGGGTGCACTCAAACCCTGGAAATACAAACTGGTTCAATTTCTTAAGAAACAGAATTCAAGAGGTAGGCTGATCCAGTCAAGCAATTTAACATAAAGGAAATACAACCCGAGAGGGATGGACGCGTGTGATCCTGTGTGTCAAGATGTTCACCAACCACCACTTGTGTTAGTGACGGTGGGGGGTCACGCGAGCAGACTATGGCAGTCACTCGCCAGACCTTTTGCATAAAACAGTGTCACCATCCTAACACATAACTGAGGACAGTAACGTATCTAATAACACACACACACACACACACACACAATGGGTGTTCTAGAAGGACATTCATTTAGGTTAGAAACAGTGTTTTTCATTTCCTTCTTGATATTTTTCTGCATTTAAAAAACTTTCTACTTTGGGTATACATCCAATTGTTTTTATAATCTGAATAAAGCTTTCTTCATTTTAATAAAAAGATTTAATCAGTAAGTAACAACCCCTAACTATTAAGGCAATTAAATTTATTCCTGCATTTTAAGTAAAAGGGCTTTGTGTTTTAGAAATCAGACTTTGTAATTTAGAAAAATCAGACTTTGAATTTAGAAATATACTTTTTATTCTGGAAAGAACCGTAATACATTCTTCCAGAACATAAAATATATAAATTAAATCTTACAGTGGTAGAGTTACGTTTCCTTCAATTACCTTCACTAACTCACAGTGTAAAACAAATCTGACAGTACATGTTAGTGTCTACACGCACACGCACACAATTTATACCAAATACACGCAGTTCAGGCCGTTCCTCACCTGCATCACTCGGGGAGCCACCTGCAAAAAAAAAGAAAAGAAAAAAAAGGACATCGGAAGACCGACTTCTGTGTTGGTAAAGCTCAGTGTATTAAGTAGCAGGACTAGGGCCAAACACTAAGTAATGGGACACCCGTCAGGGAACACAGAGCCTTTCCTAGGGTCCCACTGCCATCACTTTATTTTCAAAGATCGAAAGACAAAGAACAAAGCGCACTTTGAATTCTAAAATGCTATTAATGAAAAGAGGCAACAGGAGTACGAAGAAAGCAGGTCACAGACATAAATGAGAGAGATTCAAGATGAGGCAATAGCGGATAAGCCAGGGAGCGTGAGGGACGAGAAGGTGTGATGCCCTTTTCGTGACAGGGTCACAGCAACCAGGGCCCTCCCTCCCTAGCTCGTCAGCAACGGCTCTTCCATCAGCTCCTGAACGAGGACATTTCTCCAGCTCCCCATGGGCCTACCTCCTCCTTCCAGTGCTGCGTTTTAGGGACAAATGGGACCTATGTGGCCCCCAGGAAATGAGCGGGAGCACTGTAGGGAGGGGAGACTCGAGGTCACAGAAGATACTCTCTGCCCGACACACCTGAGACACAGGACCACATCTGCAGAAGCGACAAAACAGCACGGTCCAAGTCGGAGCCAAGGACCCCCGGGAGCTGCCGTGCAGCCCCCCATAAACCACAGCCCCACCTCCACACAGGGACCCTTCACACGCACGAGGACTGGGCCCGGGTTACCCTGAGGACACACGGCGCTCCTCAGACACCTCAGTCTGTCTGCTGGGGCAGACTTCAGAACTCTGGCCCTTCTGGGCAAGGGGAAGCGGGGGGCCCTACAGGACCTATGTGTACGGAACACAGGAACCTCCCAGGGGTCACACTGCACAGAGCAGAGGACAGGCCCCGCTCCCACAGAGCCCGACGAACTGCGGGTTAGGAGGGGCCTGGAAATCATGTTTCCGGACAGCGCCACTAGAAGGATGGGGTGACAGCAGTGGGGGCTTGGGCCTGACCCTGGGCAGCAGAGCCTCTCCTTGACGTCTTGCCACCTGGAGTGCGCTTGGCAGAGCCCAGCGTGTGGCAGCCGCTGTGCAGCCTGGGGCCCTGGATTCCAGACCCCTGGGCTCTCCTCCAGTCTCACAGCATCAGTGTTGGGGACAGACTGCGGGTTCATGTGCAGCTGCTGGATCTCAAGGCCGACACCCAGATGGACAGTGCACGCAGCAGGCCCCCCCTTCGCAGATGGCGTCTCCCACCCCTCGGCGGGGGCTCCTGCCTCACAGACACTCAGGTCTCCTCTGGACCCGTCACCAGCTCAGCCTCTTTCCCTCGCCCTGGCGACCAGACCCCTGGCCACTCACACGCCATCTCCGGTGCAGACCTTGCCTGAAGCACCCTGGAACCTGCCCGTCCCCCGACCGCCCACTCCAGCCCAGGCCGCTCTCTCCTGGACCGCTCACTAAGCCTCCCAAACTGACGTGGCCCACACGTGACTGAGCCGCTCGCGCCCACAGCGGCATGGGCCTCCCGCGGGGCTGGCCCCCTTGCTCGGCCCCCCGCCCGAAGGCTCTGTCCAACCCCACCCGGGGGCTGAGCCCCTGGCGGCCCAGACCGGGCACAGGGCGTCCTCCAGGCGGGCTCTGCTCAGCGGGGCACCACTGCACCCGGCAGGCCGTCGGCACGCATTTTGGTGCACGCACACTGACAGGCACCAGCCTTCCCCATGAGCGGGGCTCTGGGGCGCCAGCGCCCCGCCAAGCCTGCAAGGAGCTCCGGGCCCCGACAAACGCCGAATGTGTGCTTCACCACAGCGTAAGTGCTGAGAATATTAGGCCAAAAGCAGAATCTCACCGACGCACAACTTCAGACACCCAGAAAACATGACAGACAGAAACACCGGGTCAGGACGGCGCTTCAAAGTCCTCTTTGAACGTGAGATCTGGGTGAAGTCTGAGTGGCGTGCGGCTCGGCCCGTGGGACTCCCCAGCACGGACTCTGAAGCTGGTTTCCGGGCCTTCCGACGCCACCTGGGCTCCGCACGTTACCTCCGAAAGAGCGCTGGGGACCCGGGAGACGCCAGTGCCGCCACACAAGGACAGCGTGCCCTACCCTAGCTGATGCAAAAGGGGTCCTTCACCACATCCGGTCCTGCTGGCGTGAAGGACCAGGGACTGGACCCCGTGTGCGTCCGAGAGCCGAAGGGACCCCGCGGCTCTGGCCGCCGCCCTCTGGGGAGAGAGGTGCCCCCCTGTGCGTGTGGAGCGGCTCAGGCTCCCTCACCAGGAAAGGAGTGGAGAGAGGGTGTCCTGCTTACCTTTCTGCTTCACTGCTGGTTCTGCCTCGACGTTCTCACGCCACAGACTAGCTGAATTATCATCTGAAACACTAGCTGAGTTAGTATTAGCTTCTTTTGTTCCTGACAGAAAACAGTTTAAAATGAGTCATTATGATGTGCACGGCAGGCTGGTCCTCTATGGCTTCATTAACAGGGAGCACACACACTCATCCACGCTCTCCCACACGCGAGCTTACAGAACACTGGCCAAAGGCAGCTTTTGAGAACTCACACCAAGAATGTTCCTCCCAGCTGCGGCTGTGGGATCAGGAGAGGGAAGGGGTGCCCGGAATATGAGAAAGCCCCATGCTCACTCAGCCCAGGAGGAGGATGGGGTCCCCACAGCCAAAGCAAACTGGCCCCTGCACCCCCATTTCCAGAACCTTCCTGACACTACCTGTCTCCACCCACCTCCCCACTGCGGCCAGGCCCAGCTGAGAAGCTGCAGATAGGTGACAAGTGCAGCAAAGCAAGAGGAAAAAAACTACCTCTGGCATAGTCCACAATCCTAGACATATTCAAAGCTCCCGAAACCTCATGAAACTACTGACTAATGGGCCAATGTCTATAAAAATAGAAAAAATATCAAATACCCAAGAAATAAAACATTTTTTATATTAAAAATAAAGGGGGGGCAGGGAGGTGCTGAAGGAAAAGATTTTTAATGTGGTAGGACTCAGGGTAGAAAACTAACCCATCACTAAAGGACCCCCACTCTAAAATGAAACCAGGAGACAAAAATAAAGTTAGATAAATGTTCCCTTTCCTGAAATACAATCTTATAATTTCTTAAAAGTATTCAAATAAACAGTTTATATCAGAATCAACCTATCATTAGCCATCAAAGAACTGAATTTATGTAATAGAACTTCATACAGTAGATGACATAATTTTCTAAGGAAATTTTTTTTCTTTTTTTTTTTGAAGATTTTATTTATTTATTTGACAGAGAGAGACACAGCGAGAGAGGGAACATAAGCAGGGGCAGTGGGAGAGGGAGAAGCAGGTTCCCCACAGAGCAGAGAGCCCGACGCGGGGCTCAATCCCAGGACCCTGGGATCGTGACCTGAGCCGAAGGCAGACGCTAACGACTGAGCCACCCAGGCGCCCCAGGAAATTTTTTTCAATCTATAAAAATGATAATTTAAACAGCCCGATTCAAGTAATTATTTATGATATCTAAGGTAGCCAAAGAATCAATATGAAATACTAAAACAAATGTAAAAATAAAATAAGCTTGGCAATTGTAGATTATCTATTTTTAAAGAAAACATGCAAGAATTTCAGATTGTTACATTTTATTTGAAAATGTCAAAAATTTCCTACACTGTTCAAAACCTACCAGCGCAATAAGTAACTTCCAAATGCAACAACTTCTGTCCAGAGCTGGAGGGGACTGATGACACTCTGCCCCATTTCCTCTCTTCAAATGTCTAGTGGCATTTTTTTTTTTTTGAGAGGCCTATGATGGTTGTTTTAACATCTTTCCTAATATTTTTAAACTTTACTAAAACTCTGATACACAAACACAACAGAAAAACAAGCTACAACCAATAATACTAATAATAATACATACGATAATAATAATTTTAATAATATACAATCAATTCTTAATCATAGAGAACAGACTAACCAGTCTGCCAAATAACAGCTTTAAAGAAAATAAATAATACACCCACAAAATATAAAAATTATTATGAACTGGCAAAAAAATCTGTTGTCTGAATTATCAGTAATGAATGAACCTGGTAGGTAAGGATGTGGGCCTTGGCGTCCTGATTTCCTAAGTTCCAGGGCCCCAAGGCTGCACCTTGAGCAGGCTCCTCGCCTCTTCCGAGCCAGTTTGCCCCAGCTTACGGTGCTCTGGTAAAGAGATCCTGTGCTTCACAAAGCAGGGAGCGCTGTGCCTGGCCAAGCGCCCATCTGTCAGTTACCATCCCTGAGACTCACCAGGTACGGCCCACAACACAGCCCCAGGCAGCTTCCCACTGTGCCCGTGAGCTGCGCAAATTTTAGCAGCACAGAGCTGCTAACTACATCCAAGTGTAAATGCGAACAAATAACCAGGCCTTAAAGTAAGGGGCTCCACCTGGCCCAGCGATCAGTCCCAGCACCCTGTTAATGGGACGCAGAAACACTAGTGTATCCAGATAGGACACAAGATAAAGGCACAGCGTTGCCTATGTAGGGGTCAGAGCGAAGCCAGATGTTCCAACCCAAATCTAATGAGGATTTTAGATCAAACAGAAACACGGGGAGAAGCGGGGGGGAGAGCAATGTCGTAAGTGAAGCGACATTACAAGGAAATGGACGTGTCCAGAGAGTGGAACATTCTACAAGACAAGCAACCTCATCTCTTCCAAAGCCAGTGTGCGAGACTAAAAGGGCAAGGTGGGGGAGCACAGAGGGTGGGGGGGCTGTTGAGATTCGAGTCATTTAAAAAGACAGAATAAAAAATATACAGTGTGTTCATCTTAATGGAATTGTTTTTTTTTTTTTTGAAAAATAACACTTTTGAGTCACTAAGATTTCGGTACTATTGGGGAACAGTCATCCTGCTAGAGACAACAATAATGTTGTGGCTGTGTCTGAGCAGGTCTTTTTTGTTTTTTGAGCTGCAGGCTGAAGTATTTAAAGTGTTAGGGTGTTTTGATACACTTTGAAATCATTCATAAAAATACATGGCTCTAGATGAAGCACATATGACGAGACATTAGAACCACTGAATCTGTGTGAGAGGTCGAAGGGTGCTCATCACTCTTCCTACTCCTCTGCATTTTTCGTAATAAAAAACTTTACACGATAAAACAGACATGAGTGACGGGACCCAAGCAAGGTGAAGACACATGGAGGCACAGGGTTCCAGGAGAACCCGGACCGTCAAACGACTGCAAAGAGAACGAGGCTCATCACACAGCGGGCATTCCGAGGGGGCAGGGAAGAAATGGTTCGTGTCTGAGAAAGCTGTGGGTAATTTCCTTGTTGAGCTCTCCAGCATCCCTGAAAGACAAAGCGCACGGCCGCCATCAGGCGCAGGCTGGCCCAGGTCTGCAGGCCCAGCGGGTGGGGCCTACAAGCTCAAGGTGCAGGGCAAGCGTGAGGAAGGGCTCCCTGACCACCCAGGCCCTGCATCTGGAAATCACACTCGCCGAGAAAACCAGCAGCTGTGACAACCGCTGACAAACCCTGAATCCCAGAAGTCAAAGGGCTGGCAGCACAGCGAAGACCGGGGCGGGGGAGGGGAGGGGGCGCCAGGGGTCCCAGGACCAGCCGGGGCCGGGGTGCAGGGCCCCTCCCTGGCCACTAGGTGGCGCCAGGCTCCGCTCGAACGTCCGCCCGGCTCTCCACCGAGAACCACGGGTGTGGCAGGGCTCCCGCTCCCTGGACGCTGAGGTGTACCTAGTGTCTACAAAGTGAGGATACATGTCTGAACAACCAGTGCACTTCATTTTAAGTCCGTGATACCATCTCAGCGCGACACGCCTCACCTGACGTAGGGCTCGCGGTCACTACAGTGGGATCTACAAAGCAGATCCGTAGGCACACCTGGGACACACCAGCCACTGTATGGAGCCACCTCCCTGAGTCTCAAGGCAGGTGTTTCTAGACCCACCTACCACGAGGTCACTGTGGCTCAGAGAACGTACCCATGAAGCTAGCTCACGGCCAAGAGGCGGGCAACGGGGGGAACGGATCTTCCCGCTGGTCTGGGACAGGGCAGATCTGCCCACAGGGGCAGCACCACCCAGGCCTCTCCTGCCGCACAGGGACTGCCCGGTGCTTCCCTGCTCCGACCAGGCTGGACGGGCCCCCAGCCGGGAGAGGCTCCCGCAGGGAGGGAACACGTACACTCTCACAGGATGCAGGTGAACCGCACCCTGCGAGCCCGCGGTGGGGGTTCCTGAGAACCCACCCCGCTCCCTTCAGCACCTCCCAGTCGGTCACCCCACACCGCTGAGGAACTAGATAAACCACGGAAGGCTGACCTGCTTGGAGTAAGACCAGTCAAGACCGCCTTCTAAGAGGACCCCTTTTACGCTGCGCCCCTGCTGAGCCAAGGATGCAGCAGCTGCCTGCAAACGCACCTGCTCTCGAGCTCGACTTCTTAAAGGGAAAGCGCTCGCTTGCATTCAAAGATGCACTTACCATTATTCTAGCTACAGGCGCAGAATTTTCAAAAATCAAAGCGATACAAGTTCAGCCTAGACTAGACAAATTTTTGTCTTTTCCTGGAGCGAAGATTTACACTATATTTTCCCTTAAGTGTCACTCAAGATTTTTAATATTTCTGAAGAATTTAGTTTAACATCACAGACAGCAAATACTGATCTTCACCCAGGATTACCCCATTGAAATTCCCAATTCACAGGTCTCATTGCTCCACCCCAGCAGGCGAGGATGCATGCACACACCGCAACAGAAGAGGGCAAAGCCCCAGGGAACAACCTCCCCAGTGCGCCCTGGCAAGCACCTTAAAATCTTTATTATGGGGCATTTTCTCAACACAACACAGCAAAGCAGGATGGGAGAGCTGAATGACCATTTCTGACCACCCACATCATTTTGTAAAATTCCAACAGCAAGATAAAGCAAGCATCTTGATCTAGATGCAAAAGTAAGTTACATATAGAAAAGCATGTAAAAGTTAACTAAAACTGAGTTAATATTCTTTATCATATAATTCAGAAAGTTAAAGCAAGTGGCATATAAGTGATTTCTGATCTTCACTTTCTCTTGGTTAGAAGAATAAAATATGTAACTATGTTGAGAGGTAAATATTTCATATCAAGGTGGTGAGGAATGTAAACTAAAGAATACCTTTTTCTTACCGATTTCTGAAGTGGCAGTTTCCTGATCTGCTTCATGATTTAATCCAGACACTATGGGATCTAACATTTTAGCTGAAATAGTATCTTCCTTTCTTCCTGACGTAAAATGGTTAACGACAGATTAAAACATTGTAGAAGTTTTTATATGCGGGTGCTCTGGTCGGGACAAACAGGGGTTTACACCAGGCTCACACTACCTCGTCCCCTCCGGGGTCACAGGAGGCCCCCCCCACCGCCACTCCTCCCTCCCAGTGCTCTCCGAGCAGGACCCCGTGGGTCCTGGCCGGCTCTGGGGTTCACCATCTTTATCTCCACACTCCCCTACACTAATTTCACATGGATCTTCATGTGACGGCAGGAACGACCACCATGTAAAAAACCCCAACTTCTTTGATTTCACCTTCAGTCGCCCCAACTCCCTCCCCAAATGGCTCCGCTCTTGTCCTGACACACTACTGGGCTGCACTGCAGGCACCTCAAATCCCACCTGTGGGAAAGAGAATGCGTGGCGTTGTCCCCCATCCCAGCAACTGGCTTTTCCCAAAGCCTTCGCACTCCAGCAACAGCACCACGTGGCTGCCCAGACCCCTCCATGGATCTTTTCGCTGTGCCCTCTCCTAACAAGGGCCACCCAGTCACCCAGCCACTCTGTCATCCCTTCCATCAAACACGTCCTCAACCAGTGACACTCGGGTCCCGGCCATCAGTCTCACCTGGACAGGAACTGCTGTCCAGCCTCTGTACTTGCCTCTCTCCACTCTGAACAGGGGATGATTCTAACACCTGTCAAATCACGCCTCTGTCCTGCTTACTGTCCTCCAAGGACTTCTGCTCACACTCACTACAAAACTCTCGGCCTCCGTGGCCCAACACCTCGGGCCTGCCTATTCGTGCAGCCTCTTCTATCTCTTTGTGTCGTGTCCCCCCCCCCCCGCCCAGCCTCACTGCTGGGCCTCCTGCCACTCAAACAGGCAAGCCTGTCCCCAGCTCAGGGCCTCTGCCCATTCCTGGACACCTGCATGTCCTCCTTCACCCGAGTCAACTCCCTGTCCAGACGTCCCCTCCTCAGAGCCTCTCTGCCTGTGCACCCGCCCCTACATCCCCACCCTTCTCGGCTACGTTTTCCATCAGAAGACTCATCACTAACATGAAAGTGTACACCCTGTGGTCTCCTGATTATCTGACTTGTCCCTCCACATTATGTGCCCCAGAAGGGCGGGTACGCCATAAATATCTGCAGAACGAATAAAGGAAGACTCAAGGGGACAATCCCAGCCTGTGACTGACTTGGAGGAAATGGGCAGGTAGCTGGGGTGACCCCAGAGCTCAGCAGGCAGGGCTTACGTGCCCTTCTGCCCCTGCTCCGCTCTGGGCCCAGGCCCCGTGTCCAGCAGGGCTCCACCCACAGGGCTCCCCCAGCTCGGTGGTCAAAGGGAAGCAAAGGTTCCGACTCCCCGACATTCGCAGCCTCCACTGGGGCTTGTGTCGCCTTACCGAGCTGTTTCACGGCATGCTCCTTAGCTTCGCTGTAGGAAGAGTTACGTTCTTTTTCAGGGGAAAGACTATTTTCACTCGTTCTAGAGTCCCTTCTTAGCTTCGCTGTAGGAAGAGTTATGTTCTTTTTCAGGGGAAAGACTATTTTCACTCGTTCTAGAGTCCCTTCTTAGCTTCGCTGTAGGAAGAGTTACGTTCTTTTTCAGGGGAAAGACTATTTTCACTCGCTCTAGAGTCCCTTCTTAGCTTCGCTGTAGGAAGAGTTACGTTCTTTTTCAGGGGAAAGACTATTTTCACTCGTTCTAGAGTCCCTTCTTAGCTTCGCTGTAGGAAGAGTTACGTTCTTTTTCAGGGGAAAGACTATTTTCACTCGTTCTAGAGTCCCTTCTTAGCTTCGCTGTAGGAAGAGTTACGTTCTTTTTCAGGGGAAAGACTATTTTCACTCGTTCTAGAGTCCCTTCTTAGCTTCGCTGTAGGAAGAGTTACGTTCTTTTTCAGGGGAAAGACTATTTTCACTCGTTCTAGAGTCCCTTCTTAGCTTCGCTGTAGGAAGAGTTACGTTCTTTTTCAGGGGAAAGACTATTTTCACTCGTTCTAGAGTCCCTTCTTAGCTTCGCTGTAGGAAGAGTTACGTTCTTTTTCAGGGGAAAGACTATTTTCACTCGCTCTAGAGTCCCTTCTTAGCTTCGCTGTAGGAAGAGTTACGTTCTTTTTCAGGGGAAAGACTATTTTCACTCGTTCTAGAGTCCCTTCTTCCTGACATGAAATTGCATAATTAAAGTTTGTATTAAGCTTAATTTGTAATTCTGCATAGTATACCCACTCATAGTACGTTATTCTGCTATAATGTGCTACCTAATAATAAGCCAAAAGTATCATATTCTTATGAAGAAACTTTTTTGGATTCTATAGAGATTCTACAATAGCTTTAAGATTCTAAATATGTTTAACAAACATGATACCCCACACTCTAGTAAATGCAAGGCTTCTCCCCTCGGGCAGAACATGGAGGTCCTGTGCCTCCTACACCTTCTGAATGCTGGACGTTCGCCCAAATGCGGCCCATTTAAGTAAGGCAGAAGGTCAGGGTGGAGCACCAGCCGTGCTGGGGGAGGATGTGCAGTGAGGTCCATGCCCAGCTCACCGGCAGGGAAGGAAAGAGTCAATGAGCTTATCGACAGCTGGGGAAAGCTAGTCTCAGAAAGCCGGCAAACCTCTGTAATTCTCTAAGAGGCCACAGAAAAGGAGCCCTATGGCGCAAACTCAGATGCACACGCCCCAAGTTACTAGAAAAGAAGACGGTAACAACTGTCAGCTCACAAAAAAATCACAATTCAACAGAAGAACTGCGGGCTAAGATTGAACACAAGGTGAGGTTTGCGGTGCAGTGACCACAGTCCGTGACACTTCTACACTCCAGCAATCATCACTGGCACCACTAAGAAGATGCCATCTCTAAACAAACTAAAAACAAACTGTCGTGACCCGTGACTGACACAGCCCAGCACATGCATAGGGAGACTCCCATACTAACTTGGAATCAGAAGTATCCAACCTTCCCCAAATAATGAAAGCATAAGTTTAACTTAGAGTCCAACTCAATCCTGGTAAATTTATTAGTTCTGTTTGTGGATGGGGAGATTCTTTGACTCAATGGTTTTAAAATAATCTGGAAGAGTAAGCACATAAAAGGGCTTAAAATTAACGATTCTGGAACACCTCGTGAGTTACTCTGAAATGGAGAGCATCACCTTACACCATGAATTAAAATAAGAAATAACTAAAAAGATTAAATATAAAAACGCATGACAAAACACAAATCTTCATCTCTCAAATCTCTGGACAAACTACAAAAAAAAAAAAAAAAGACTGGCCATTTCCAGTGCATAAAAATTAAACACTCAGGCAAATCAGGAACTAACATAATGAACAGAAATGAACTGGTGGGGGGGGGGGAGAGACAAACTGGCGGATGTCCTTAACATACAGTGAGCTTGTGCCAATTAAGAACAACACTGAAACAGCCATCACAGCCGTGAGGAATCCCACCGAGAACAGACAAGCCCGAGGAGCCGATACAAATGACTCACACACATAAAAATGCACAACTGCACTAGCAATTCAAAAGAGACAGCACTGTTCGTTTTTCCCCTCCCAGACTCAGCAGCAAGCCTTGGACACCGTGGAAAAGGTGTAGGGCTGGGGGCACGGTCGGCTCACCCCGCAGCCGACCCCGCCAACAGCCCTGTCCCCAGAGACGCCCGCGGAGGGACAAGCTCGCGAAAGTCTCACGTACTATTCTGAAGTGGGGCTTTCTGTCTCAGCGCAACGTCCACTTGAGAAACTCCAACTGCGGCACTCCTGCCGTGCAGCTCCAACTCTTACCACTTAGGGAAAGGACGATGTTTCAGACACTACCGCTACTCAAAGTAACCTCACACTTCACCTGAAAACCTGCAACACTACCAGCCCCCAGCAGCACCTGCCCGCCCTGGACGGACCCCCGTCTGGCTTGTTGGTCGGGCTCAACCGGTGCCACCCTTGGGCAAACCCCCGGCTAGGCCTGTTCGCTTCAACCTCAGCTCCCAGTAGCACGGCTCCCGGGGAGCGGTCCTGCTGTTTTTTAAATGCACGAACGTCACCCACGAGCAGGATGCTCTTGCTGGCCACCGAGTCGGGATTACTTTCAAGCCTACCACTTCAAATGACAAGAGTCAGTGAAACATGGGTGACTGATAACCGTTTCCGGAAAGTTAAAATTCGATCGCATCTTTTAGATTGCAACAGATCTCCAGCAAAGAGGTGCTACTACCGGCCACTGGTGTCTTGGGCTCACACACGTACGCGCAGACGTGTGCGTGCGTGTGCATGCGTGTGCGTGCGTGAGAGAGAGAGAGAGAGACATATCTGCATCCTTTTCACACAGTCTTTGTTTATCCCCCCCAATGGCAGATCTGCCTTCTAGCCACAGGATGTTTTTTCTACCAGATACTGTGATTAATATCCATATTTTCAGCTCCTAGTATGATAAATCTGCAGTACCTTCCATGGAATTTTCGGATCGCCGTTTTGATGGTTTTGTTGTCACCGACCTGGATGCTCTAGTGGAAATCTCAGTCTTAAAGAAAAGAGAATGGAAAAGAATTAGTTGGTGCATGACACAGCAATGCCTTGAGTAGATTTACTAGTCAAGCTCTGCTCAAGGAAGAACAAAGAGGAAACAGAACACCACCATCCCCTAAAGAGGAATGGATACCAGAGCTCAGCACCCCAGACCTGAGGGTGAACAGAGGACACTCAGACCTCCTTCACTCTAAATTCGGAAATCCATCTTTCTGCAAAGCTCTCCAAAGCCCAGCAATCCGCCAACCACACTGAGAAGCACCGTCTTATCAGATGTGTTTATGAGAACTCCATCTCCTTTGCTATATGCTAATTACTCGCATGCATCTGTGACAATTCTGAGTGCAAACATACACATGTTTAAACAGAGCACACACCAGCCATAAGGTTTTGCTCAGCCTGCCATAATGCCCTCCTAGCTGGCCTCTCAGCCTCCACACCGCACCTGGTCCGTCTTCCCTGCAGCTGCCTGGACGCGTTCTCTAAAATGCAAAGTGCTTTAGGAAAGTTGGGCTGAGTCTAACCTCCATGGCCTGGAGACGAGGAGATGATGTGGCCCAGCCTCGGCTGCGCCCCAGCCACAGGACACGCACCACGGGGCCCCACACAGGCCAAGCAGAGCTCAGAGGGATCCCTCCAGCATCTCAGCTGTCCCAGTCTGCCTGGTGACTGGATCTTCTCCCAGACTCACCTGAAGCTCCACCAGACCCTCTCCCAAATGACTCCCCCATCCCTTTGTACCCCATACGTCACACCTGTCAAACAACTGTATGAGGAAAGCCAGGAGCCGAGCACAGAAGCCGGGACTCATGCGTGAGCCTGCGCCACGTCCCCAGCCGCCGGTCTCCACAGACTAGAAGAGACCGCAGCATGGCAGTCGCCACGTCAACACAGCCACGGTTTATGTCCCTTGAAATTATTTTTTAAAGTTTACCTCTGTTTCAGCTTTGGAATCTTTCAAAGATCCATCTGGCAGCTTTTTAGACACCTCCCCTGAGCTTGAGGACTGTTAAGAAAAAAAATCGTCACATTCTAGAATTATTCAAATCTGCTACATCCAAAAACACATCAAGGTGCCAGATGTTTCTAGCTGAGCAGCAGCAAGATCACCCTTCCCTTAAGAGCGTCCATCCCACTCCAGGCCTGAGTATCTGCGGCTGGCATGCAGCCCTCATCCCAAAGGGCCGTCCGGATCATTCCAGGTGGGGCAGACCGGGGGCACAGGGGGTTGGGGCGGCGCCTCCCAGGAAGCTATGGAATAGTGGGACACGTGGGATGCCCACCCAAGGCCAAACCTCTTGGAAACGCTCAGTAAAACATGGGGAATCTGGAAATGTGGGAAGGAGTGAACAGGAGAAACTACCAGCCACCATGGAAACACGGCCCCTGCTCATTCTGGGGCCGGTGGGGGCGGGGCACTTTCCAATGGAGGGTTCTCGTCAAGCAAAAGCTTCAGACTCTCCCTCAGGAAATACTCCCAAGGGTGCAGGAAAGGGGAACCCTCCTACACTGTTGGTGGGAATGCAAGCTGGTGCAGCCACTCTGGAAAACAGTATGGAGGTTCCTCAGAAAGTTGAAAATAGAGCTACCCTACGATCCAGCAATTGCACTACTGGGTATTTACCCCAAAGATACAAATGTAGGGATCCGAAGGGGTACGTGCACCCCGATGTTTATAGCAGCAATGTCCACAATAGCCAAACTGTGGAAAGAGCCAAGATGTCCATCGACAGATGAATGGATAAAGAAGATGTGGTATATATACACAATGGAATGTTATGCAGCCATCAAAAGGAATGAGATTTGCCACTTGCAACGACGTGGATGGAACTGGAGGGTGTTATGCTGAGCGAAATAAGTCAATCAGAGAAAGGCAATTATCATATGATCTCATTGATATAAGGAATTTGAGAAACAAGACAGAGGATCATAGGGGAAGGGCGGGAAAAATGAAACAAGACAAAATCAGAGAGGGAGACAAACCATAAGGACTCTCAATCTCAGGAAACAAACTGAGGGTTGCTGGAGTGGAAGGGGGTGGGAGGGATGGGTGGCTGGGTGGTGGACACTGGGGAGGGTATGTATTGTGGAGAGCATTGTGTATTGTGTAAGACTGATGAATCACAGACCTGTACCCCTGAAACAAATAATACATTATTTGTTAATAGAAAAATTAAAATAAATAAATAAATAAATTTTGAGGTGTTAAAAAAAAAAAAAAAAGGGAAATCCTCCCGAAAGGAAGTACAGGAAACCTGGGAACCCCAGCTCATAGCTACAGTCAAGTCTCTGACCGACACATCCTAATGTAAGGACTAGAAGAGACTAGACCTCAGACCCTGTGCCCCATGAAGACTGAAAAGCAAGGGCTGACTGTCGAGTTCAACCCTGATGCGTTTCCCTAACTTCCTGCTGGAGGCGCCAGGCTGTCCCCTTGAGGGTGAGGGGCGCCGCGCACACCGCCTGGATACCTGGTCCTTTACCGCCACACCTGACACTCTGCACACACCTACTACTTCGCCTTCTCTTCATACACCGCCTGAGGGGCTTGAGAAGGTCCCAGCAGTGTCTCTTCCAGACGGGAATCGAATGGAGGAGAATCAAGGGATCTGACGCAGGGTGAAGACCAGCAGAGGCGGGTCAGAAGGGAGTCTCTGCCTCCCCAGAGCCTCCTTGGGAGGTGGCCCACACGGGGTGTCCTTGCCACGGGCAAGCGCTGCCCCCCAGAAGAGCTGACCCAGCAAAACCACCACGGAAGTTCTACGCAAGGCCGACTTCGGGGGGACGCGGACCAGCCCGGGGCAGAGGCCCGGACCCTGCGCCCTGGCCCCACGCGCTCGCAGCCAAGCCGTCACTGCCGCTGGGCTCCAGAATCCCACAGACCCCCCATAAAAACTTCTCTTTGGAATTAGCTTTCTATTAAGAACGCTCCTCACGGCACCAGCAATTTTCGTGAACGTGAAGCATGGGAAACTTCGCCGGAAAACCTGGAGGGCTGGGGCCATGCCCCTCGGCGGCCGCCTCACGCCAGGCAGACACGCGGGAGCACGCTAGTGCCTCAGAGGACTCAGGCTGGTGAGAAACACCTTTCCTCAGACCTCGACAACGAGGCAAGGGGTGGGGAACGCCCTTGTTACTCCTAAAACTCCTGAGGGAAGCCGGGTTTCTGTGACCTGTCTCACGGGGCCCAGTACTCTAGGGCGTTCACGGCAGACCACGAGGCTCTCGAAGGGTCCGACCCGCGGCCCTCACCCCGGTACTGCCGCAGCCTGAGACACAATATGCCACAGAGCCAGGTGCACGAGCCCCGAGCGCCGGCGCAGGCCTCGCCCCTCCCCACGCCGCCGCGCCCCGTGGGCACATCTTGAACCTCCCCAGACCTCCGCTCCCTCCCTCCTAGCAGCTGGGGACCAAGAGATTCCCACAGCCTTCCGGAGACACTTCCTAATGTGCTGTCCCCACGAGAACAGGCATGAGCAGCGCCAGCCCTGACGGGGACCTGAACTAGCTGTAGTGACCCCAAAAGTAACTTGCACACTTAGGAAACACTGAAACCAAACACATTTTCCGGCCAATCATAAATTTACCTGAAAATTTAATTAAACAAAAATTACAGTAACAGAGGCCTGGTACGTATCTGCTAACGCCCACAAGACTTAGAGAGGAGCCCTGAGCCTTGGTAAATTCAGCCGTGCCCAGGAGCACGCACACGACCGAGGCGGCTCGGAAGGACCGCTCACGCAGCTACGGGGTGGGCCCCCTGTCTTCAAAAAACACCCAAATGCACACACTCAGCCCGAGGCGAGAACAGTGCACCTCGGAACCCCAGCAAAAACTGGTGTCGGTTTGGGTTTCTACTGGGAATGCCCGAGTGGCTTCACCTTACCGCAGTGCTGGAGAGAAGCAGAGTCCCAATCACACTGCGACAAAGACGGGAAACACGTTCGAGAACACCACAAACTCTTCTTAAAGACAGAGGTTTTCAAGCAGGACTTTACCTTTTTGTCAGGTTTGTCGTGCTCTCTGGTCTTCTCCCTGTCGGGGTCTCTGGAGTGCTCCCCGTCCTTCACCCTCCGCCTGTCCCTGTCCCGGGCCTTGTCCTGCTCGCGCTCCCTCTCCCGGTCTTTCCACCTCTCTTTCTCCTTTCCTCCCTCGTTCCTTTTCTCTCTTGCGCGGTCCAGGTCTTTGTCACGGTCCCTGTTGCCTCGGTCTCTGTCCTGCTTGGCCCGGTTTCTGACTCGTTCTCTCTCCCCCTCTCGGTGCTTGTCTCGCTCAGGATCTTTATGTCTATCACGGTCGGTCTCCTTCGTCTTCTCCTTCTCCTTGTCCTTCTCTCTTCCTTTGCTTTCTTCCTTCACTTCTTCTTTCTCTTTTCGATCTCTGCTTGTACTTCTCTCGTTTATTTCAGAGTTCCTTTTATCCTGGAAAGAAGGTCAAACAACAATATCACTTACGAATGTCTTCATCTGAACTATAAAAAGACTCATTATTTCATTTTTGAATATGTGCAATTTGCAAGTCACCTCTTTATCTTTATGAACTCTGGGCTCTTCTTCTCGTGCATTCTTATTGTCCAAGTCCTGAGCTTTTGACGTCAGTGAGGTCCTTCCCTTCAGGTCCCCCTTCTCTCCAGCCAACACTCTCTTCACCGCTTCGTCGCTGGAGAGCTTGCAGTCCGAGTGGGAGGAAATTAAACACACAGTGAAAATGAGATCAACACAAGTGACAAATGCGAGCATCTGCATTCATAGAAGGTTCACTAAACACGTTAAACACGTGGACATGAAAGTCAAAGGATAAAATATTAGAAGGAAATGCTGTCATCACCAAGTACAGCATCACCTCCAACACTTTACACGTGAACAGCAGAGCAGACCCTAGCTAAGCAAATCGCACTTCAATCCCCTGAGCTGTCGAGTGTGGACGTGTGTGTCGTTCAAGGACAGCCTAGCGCTGTGCGCGACCCCACAAACGCCTTACACCTCTCACAAGGTCAGAGGCCGGCACTGACAGGGCCTCACAGAATGATCTAACTCAAGCTCCATCACACGCCAAAACCCTTCTGCAGCATCTCTGACTCTGCACAGAAGCTTTGAACACCTCCAGGCAGGAATCCCACTCGCTCACACACTCATTCCACGAGGACGCACTGAGTGACCATCACTCGCCAGGCACTAGACGCCAGGTTGAGGACACGCTGTGTATCGGGGGAGAGGCCAGATGCAGCAGTTAAACATCGGTGTGCCTAAGCCAGCCTGGGAGAGAGGAAAGGCCAGGGCTCCCAGACCAGCAACCGATCCCCCACTGCTGCCAGACAAAGAAATGAGGGCTCCTGACCAGTGCAAGGGGCCTCAGGGTGCAGGCACGGGTGCGGGAGCTGAGAAAGAACCGGAGGGGAGGGCGTAGCCACAGCTCTTGAGGACGCTTGTGAGCCATGCCACGGAGCTGGCTGGGCCCAGAGGCAACAGGAAGCTGGCAAAGGATTCAGCAGGGAAGACAGGAGTCAAATGTGCTTTGACAGAGAAGTAACAGGAAGGATGCAGGGGTGGGGACTCGGGTACAGAGGCCAGGGCACTGGCAAAATCAGCTGCGTGCCTCCGAGCCCGAGATCTGGATGCAGACCAGGGCAAGGCTCTCTCGAGGCCTCCTTGGGGCCACCACCTCCCACCCCCACCCCTGCCATGTGAGCGGAAACCCACCCCCTTTCCCATTTTGGTACCATGGAAAGTTAGCCCCAGCCCACCACCCAACAGTACACGAAGGGCTCTATCAGCTATGCCCTCTGCCCTCGGGGGCGATGCGGCTCCCACAAAGGAGAAAGGCCCTGGGGACGCCCTGTCGGCACCGCCAAACCTAGATGCCCTCTGGCGTCCCTAGCGAGGACAGCCTGGGCTGGATCTAAGCAGAGACGCCAAGCTTCCAACCCACAGTGAGGATCTCAGGAAGTAGCGAATCAGTCCCTACACAAGAGACTCAGGATTACTTTGAAGGTGGCACAGCTCTGCGGTCAACAGCCAGGAGGGAAAGAGGACCAGAAGCACAGAGTGCAAGGGGGAGGGAGGAGAGTGGGAGGAAGGAATGGAAGGAGAGAAGCAGACCCTGGAGGCTGGAAAGGCAGGCGGAGAACAGGAGCGTCCCATAAGCCCCAAAGCAACAGCACAGCAGGTCCTCCAGCCCCAGGCCCTACCCTGCAAGGAGGCCCACAAGGAGAAGGCAGGCAGGGCTTGCTGCCGGGCATGCCGCCCCTGCCCCCGCCCCCGCCCCAAGAGCCAGTGTCTGTGAAGTTCCCTCGTTCATACTTGGCGTACCCTCGTTTTACTGTATAGTTTCAACCACCCCTTCTGGGACTCTGAGGTTCCAAAGCACAGCGCTTGGCAGACACCACCAAACACTCCTGCCTGAGACACTGCCCACTACCCTGCGGTCGCCTACCACCCCGTCTTGTCTTTCAGGGCTGCTGGGTCTAAACTCTGGCACCTCCGCATTACCTTGCTGAGACAGCATTTTCCAATTCTCTGGAGCAGCTCGTTTGTTCTTTCAGGCTCGTGCCCGGCCACGATCCGCGCTGGTTTTGCGGACAGTGGCTCTCCTGAAACCATCACCACCACGTCTATGGCCTTCTGAAGGAAGCTAATTTTTGCATCTTTATCCTGAAAGATTTCCATTTAAAATACAAATAAAAAGTACTTCCAAAAAAGTTTCCACCATCTTCAGTATGCTCAACAGGCACAGTTACTATTTATATCATGTCAGATTTGGAAATACTAACTCTTTGTAACAAAAAAAAAAATTAAGCTTTTAATTTTAGTTGGTAGTAGGCTAGCAGAAACCTCTAAAACACTAGTTCCATTTCTCAGTGGATAAAATTAGCATGATATGCAGTTGGCAAAAATAAGAAAATGAAATGAGAAAGGGTATACCACAATTCACGAATTAATCAACCTTGTATTTCAACACACATCAGCATATAAATGACACACATCCAGTTCACAGCTTACAGAAAACCCACTTGTTAGGGTGAGGGGCAGCCACCCCCGAGCCTACCTTAACGTTATCGGACTTCAGCTCGGCGTCTGTGTAGAGACCCTTCATGAAACCGGTCATCCTAATCACCTGAAAAGATCAAGGCCGTGGTCAGCACCTCACAGGGCAGCCTCTTCATCACCCTCACTCCCTGAACCCCACAGTCAGGAGCTGTCGGAGTCCGTCCATACCCAGGATTTAATTCCTTCACTTACTCAACAAGCTTCTGAGTGTCTACTATATGGGAGGCCTTTTACCAGGCAGAAGCCAGCCTGGAGGTGCAGACGGGTAAACATCTCAAAGACTTGCGGGGTGCTAAGTTCCTAATCCAAACACAGGAGGGGCGAGGGTGTCCGAGGAAGTTTCCCAGAAGACATGGTATCTACACCGAGACCACAGGCTGAGTGGGGGGCGGGGGTGTTTGGGACCCATGTCCCAGGCTAAACCATCCCTGCAAAAGGTCCTGGGCCCAGAGGGTTCCATTCAAGGGAGCAAAAAAAGTTCAGGGCAGGAGGAGCCTGAGGCCAGAGTCCGGCGGGGCCAGAGCAGGCAGGGCCTGACCCAGATGGCCTTCAAAGATGCTCAGGAATACGGACTTTGGCCTAAGGACTACGAGGAGGCCCTGAAAGGTTCAGAGGCAGGGGGACAGCATCTTACAAGGGTCACTCAAGCCCAGTGGAGAGAATGGATTCTGGAAAGAACAGAAATTTCTCAGCCTGGGTTTCTGAACCTGGATGGAAAGGTCTTTCTCCTCACTCACTTGCTACAACAGGGGGGTGCTCTGTGCAACTGTCACTTTTGTTCTCTCCCTGCCTGTCCTTCCCCTCAGTCAACCTGTAGCTCCCCATTACCCTGAATCAGCTTTAGGGGTAGTGATTTTCCCTGTTCCTCCCCGCACCCACACACAGCCAGGCTCCTCGTTCTCTCAGACCAGAGTTTTTCAAAATGCAAGAAGTTGCTGTAAAATCAACATAATGGGTAGCAATAAGCTTTTTTTTTTTTTTTTTTTTTTTTTTTTTTCAAAAAAGAAAACGTCAGCTGCATTGTATATAGGAAGCATGAATACACCTACACGTGTATGTCCTGGATGGATATAAAGCATATGTACTAGTGCAAGACATGTTTGTTGGAAAAAAGACAGTCCCATGCTAACATCAGGCTATTTCTCTGAGACCAAGCACACCTCACTACTAATTAAACTGGCTCTCATTCCTCATCAACTACCTAAGAGTTGTGCTATTATTTCTCCTGAGAAGACAGATGGACTATTAAGAGTATCCCGCACTGAATATTCCTAGAGCCTTTTCATTTTGTCTCTTCTGGGGTTTTCCTACTTTGCTGGCAGTTAAAACTGTGAACAATACTTTTAAGGGACAAGAAACATTAACCTTATAAGATCAATGCTTTGATTTATGAAAAAGAGAGTTAGTTTAGCCGTAGCTAAATTACTAATATGGTGACTTGTGACAATAATACTCAGAGAGTTAAGAATTTTCAGGAGGCTCTTCACCTCTTACCTGAAAATGCTTTCCAATATGCCAATCATTCTAACAAGTAGGTGACAATTAATATATTTACCTTTACAGAGGCAGAGAAATTAATTTCAGAATTAGATTAGGAAGAAAACACTGGTTCCTGATTGGGAACCTGCAACTGCTTCCACACAGCCTGGCTACTGGTCCACCAAGTCAATTTCTGCTTGAATGTCCCTCTCCTTCCCCATCCTGAGGCACTCTGACCTTCCAGGAGCCCAGTGCCACACCAAGACCCAAAGGAGGAGGCCTATCCCCGCTACCTCTTCCCGGGCTCTCCACTTCAGTGGGGAGACAGGACTAACACAGAAGATACAAGTGTGAGGGTATGGTAACAACTGCTATAGTCAGGCAGGCTCACCTGCTGGCTAACTCACTTCTTCCATTCTGGGTTTGGGGGCGCTACCTGCCTACTTCATGGGTAAGGCAGTGCACAGCCCAGCTCCCACCGGGCTCTTCTCACAGCCGTGTCCCTTCCCCAAACACTGTCCAAGACAGGTGGAAGTGTTGCCCCAGCTACAGGAGGAGGTGGAGGCTGGACAAGACAGCGCTGGGATGTGCGTGGGATTGCAGAGAGTTCTAAGCACAATTAGGGTTTTCAACACAGAGGCACACATTATAAACTAAGTTGAGACAGCAAATGATTACACAAAGCTTGTGGAGAATAATACACCCAACCTGTTGGAAAGAGTTAAGAAATGAAGTTTGAGGACCGATATGCAAAGCCCTCGGAAGTCTGCAAGTTCAACCGGATTCCTAAGTCCCAAAGACCACACCCATGTTCCTGAGTTCAATACCCTTCTTAGGAGCACCATGGAGATGAGTTACCAGGAGCCTAGACAGCGTCCTTCAACAACGAATGTGTGCTGTGCACCTTCTGTGCACTCACCCAGGATATGGCAACAAACAAGTAACTGCCTCCATCATTCGGTAATTCGCCACCCATGGGGAAAAGTTACAACCAGTCTCAACGGAGGTGAGGTTGTGCCCTTCATCAGCCAATACCAACCTGCTCTTTCATAGCTTTCCCCTGGGGGTCCCACCACAACCGCCTTCGGTACATTTATCCACAGGTATTTATTAAGCACCCAAACGTGATCACCATGCAGAGTAGTGTGGAGAAAAAGTGGGCGGGGGGGGGGGGCGCAAAAAACCACAGTAATTCTCCAGCGATTTCTGATCACCTTTCACGAGCTAGGCACTGAAGGGGGGGGGGGGGGACTCACAGAAACGACTCCGCCGGGCAGCGTGGAAGGTGTGCTAACAGATCCAAGAGCGGTGTGGAAAGAAGAATGTTCCCTGAGGGGCCGGAAGAGGCGGCCCAGCAGGAGGGTGAGAAAGAAGGAGCAGGGCTGGGGGCGAGGAACTCCACGCAGAGGCACCGCGAAACTGGGCCCGGCGGGGGCTCCTCTGTCAGGGCCTGCGCTAGGCTATGGAGGTCCGATTCGAACGCCAGCCGCGATCCCGGCCCGGCCTGCACCCCGCACCTGGGCCCTGCCTCCACCTGGGCCCCGACCCCCACCCGGGGCCCCGACCCCCACCCGGGGCCCCGACCCTTGGCCGCAGCGCGGCCCCCGGCCCGCACCAGGGCCCCGACCCCCACCCGGGCCCCGACCCCCACCCGGGGCCCCAACCCCCGCACCAGGGCCCCGACCCCCACCCGGGGCCCCGACCCTTGGCCGCAGCGCCGCCCCCGGCCCGCACCCGGGCCCCGACCCCCACCCGGGGCCCCGACCCCCGCACCAGGGCCCCGACCCCCACCCGGGGCCCCGACCCTTGGCCGCAGCGCCGCCCCCGGCCCGCACCTGGGCCCCGACCCCCACCCGGGGCCCCGACCCCCGCACCAGGGCCCCGACCCCCACCCGGGGCCCCGACCCCCGCACCAGGGCCCCGACCCCCACCCGGGGCCCCGACCCTTGGCCGCAGCGCCGCCCCCGGCCCGCACCTGGGCCCCGACCCCCACCCGGGGCCCCGACCCCCGCACCAGGGCCCCGACCCCCACCCGGGGCCCCGACCCTTGGCCGCAGCGCCGCCCCCGGCCCGCACCCGGGCCCCGACCCCCACCCGGGGCCCCGACCCCCGCACCAGGGCCCCGACCCCCACCCGGGGCCCCGACCCTTGGCCGCAGCGCCGCCCCCGGCCCGCACCCGGGCCCCGACCCCCACCCGGGGCCCCGACCCCCACCTGGGCCCCGACCCCCCCCGGGTCGCTGCCCTCGGCCCGCACCCGGCCTCCGGCCCGGCGCCCACCTCCGTGATGATGTCGTGCAGGTAGCGGAACGGCGGCTTGCTCAGCAGCTTCTCCGTCAGCGGCGGCCTCCGGATCACCCTCCCCAGGGCCTCCTGCGTCCGCTTCACCACCGCGGCGTTCATGGCGGCGCCGCCCGCGCCCGCGCCCGCGCCCGCGCCCGCGCCCCCGCCGGCCCGCAGAGCCTGAGCCGCCGTCCCCGGCCGCCGCCGGCCCGCAGCCGCCGCCGCCCGCCCCGCCTCGACGCGCCGCTCGGGCTCCCATCCCACAGTGCACCGGAGTCGGCCACGGCGCGTGCGCGGGGCGGCCGGCGCCCGTCGCCAGGGCGGCGCGGCCTTAGCAACGGACGCGGCGCGGCGCCGGCTGCGGGAGGTCCGGACCGCGCGTCCTGCCCGCGCCTGGCAACCGGGACCAAGCCACGCCCTTACCGGCTCCGCGGCGGCCGCGACTCCACCGCGGAAATCCTCGCAGCAGTTCGGAAGCTCTGTGACCTGCTGCTGGTTCTTTTTTTATAGAAAGGTGCTGATCGCCCCTGCATTTTCAAGTCTTTTTTTACTGACAGACAATTGATATGCGGAACATCAGCTTCAAGGGTACGACACAATTATTTGATATTTGTATATATTGCAAAGTGACGACCGCAGTAAGTCGAGTTAACATGCACCGCCACGGCTGCAAGGAGTTTTTACTGCAATGAGAACTTCCAAGGTGCACTCGTAGCAGCTCTCAAATATGTAACACAATAGTGTTAACTACAGTCACCACGCTGTACCTCATCGCCCCGTGACTTGCTTACCTTGTAACTGGAAATTCGCACCTTTTGACCCCCTTCATCCATTTCGCTCTGGTAATTGCATCTTTGTAACTTTTATTTACATTTATTTTTACCGTTTTCAGTGCTCTTCATTCTTTGCATAGACTCGAATTTCCATAGACTCGAATTTGGAGTCTTTGCATAGACTCCAAATGTTCCTCGGTCTGAAGAACTTCCTTTCTTTTAGCAAAGGTCAGCTGGTGATGAGTGCTGTCACCTTCCCCTTGTCTGAAAGTGTTTATTTCACCTTCACACTTGAAAGATTGTTTCACAGAGTATGCAAGCCTGGGTTAACTTTTTTTTTTCTTTCGGTACTTTACAGATTTTTCTCCACCGGCGTCCGGATTACATAGTTTCCGAAGGGAAGTCTGCTCTAGTCCTTTGTTCTATGTATCTGGTTGTATCTGTATCTGCCTGTATCAAGATGTTCTTATCATTGGTTTTTATAAATTTGCCCATGATGTATCTATCTAGCTGTGGGGGGTTTTAAACTTAAAATTTATGTTTGATTATTATTCATATGCAATAAGCCTCACCTATTTTAAGGATACTGGTTGATGCATTTATGTTACTGCCACCACAACCAAGATACAGAGCAGCTCATGCTCCCTAAAATATTTCCTCCTACTCATTTGCAATCTATCTCCTCCTTCACCCTAGCCCCAGGCAACCACTGATCCGCTTTCCGTCATTATTATTTTACCTTTTCCACAGTTTCATATAAATGGAATCATACACTACATAGTCTTTTGTGTTTAATTCTTTCTCTTATAAAGATTTTGAAATTCATCCATGGTGCCACATACATTAATATGTCATTCCTTTCTGTAGCTGAGTAGTGTTTCATAATACAATTTGTTTATCCATTCACCAGTTTATCGATACTTGGATTTCTTTTGAGTTTTGATTACCCATGAATAATGCTGCTGAGAGCATTCACATACAGATCTATGCCAACATAGTTTTCCTTTTGTTGCATTTGCAAGGTTCTTGTCTCACAGAGCCGAAGAATGAATCTCTCGGACACAAAAAGGTGAAGTTAAGTGAAAGCTTATTAAGTGAAGGTAAGAACAGAAAAGAAAACTCTCTAGAGTGAGAGGGGTCCCGAGTGGGTTGCCACTGAGGGATTTTATGGTCGGTCTTTTATTGAAAACTGACCAGGGAACTGAAATCTTCTTGACGTTTCTACCACTGATAGCACCATGTTTACCTCTCCTTTGAAGTTTCGTAGCTTTTAATGGTCAGTCTGTAACTGTCATAACAATATCTCGTCTCTGACATTTGAGACAAAGGAAGTGGTCTGGTTATGTTCTCTCATCTCTGGTTTCTTACGCCTCAGCACTTTTCCACATCTGGGATTTCTGTGAGCCTGGTCTTGTACCCCCCTCCCTATCTCTCCCTACCTAGCCCCACCTGTCCCTTACTCACTTTCTCTTGGGTAAATATCCAGGAGTGGCTTTTCTGGGTTGTATGTTAAGAATATGTTTAACTTTACAAGATGCTACCACGTTTTCAAACTGGTGGCATCATCTTTCATTCCCACCAGCAATGTATGTGATTTCTAGTTGCTTCATATTCCTGCCAAGATGTGATGGGTCTGTCTTTTTTTTTTTTTTTTTTTCAGTCTTTTTAACTTCAGTCATTCTAGTCGTGGTATAATATCTTATTATGGTTTTAATTTGCATTTCTCTAGTGATTTGTGATTTTGAACTCTTTTCATGTACTCATTGGATATTCATATGTATTCGGTGAAGACAGTCATAAAGACGTATCCGGACGTTCAATGAATCACTGCTGTGTGCTGTGAAAATTAATAAAAGGAAACATGGTTTACCATATAAAATCAGGAGGCCAGCAGGAGGAGCTCTCATTCCCAGCACTGGTTATCAATTGCAGATCCAACAGGAACAGAAGGACCTTGCACATGGATACTATCTTACCATCCCAGGCACAGGAAGAAAAGTTGGCAACAGACCGGCCAATGAGAGACAGTCACAGCTCAGCCCATGAGAAGCCACTTCCAGCTCCCAGTTTCCTTCCATGGACTTTTTGTTTGTAACCGCCCTCCCAACTCTCTCTTTCCTCTATAAAAGAGAATTTCTCTCCTTTGTTCTGGGGACTTGCCTATGGTTTTGCTGTAGCGTGCTTGTCCCTGAACTCTCTGCTATTCCAGAATAAACCCATTTTTGCTGATAAAATAACTGACAGTTTTATTTTTAAGGTTAACAGTGCTCAGCACTGTCTAGGTGCTGGGGACTTCATGGAAAACTATGTACCTTCTAGTAAGCACCATCCATACTGTCCTCTGCTGTCCACTGCTCCAGGGAACATCACTGTCCCTGCAGCTAGCTGCATCCAGGACCACATGAGCTGTGGTCACCCGGACAGAGGCCAGGCGAGCCACCAGAGCTCATCTCCCTCCAGCAGCGCCGACCTGGCTTCTGCCCACACTTCACCACGCAAGCAGGCTGCCTGTCCGAGACTTTACTGAGACGTTAGGAGCCACCTAAGAGAATGATGACCCAGAAGGGAAGGAATTTGGCAACATTCACTGGATAGAGCTATTCCGTGGTCCATGGGGAAAAAGCACCCAGCAGATTTCACCCTCAGACGTGTTCCCTCCTGGGTGGACCTGAGGTACTAGCCCTACTCCCCAGCTTCCAGGTCTACCACCTTGGCCACAGCACCTCCATCCTCTGACCCCTGCTTGTCAAATCTGCCTGACTTTCTAGAAACTCCACCACCTACATATGTATCTCCCCAACTAACCCCCTCTCTTTCGGCACTGGGTGCTCCATTCCAGACTCATCCCAAGGCAGGGGCAGGACAGTTCAATCCCTTGGAACAGTCCAGGGTGATGGGGGACACTGTGACTCAGGCTCCTTCTGGGGCTCCCAGATCTCCATTGTTCTCCTGATTGTCCACATATTTATCTTTATCACACACACAGACACGTCCTGCTTCCCGAGAACGAATGTTTTCAAACAGTTCATCAAATTCCATGAAGAAGAATGAAATCGTTTCCCAACTGTTTCGTCATTTCTGAACATGCTTGTCCACACTGAAACTAATACTTCATATTCACATGGAGAACAATGGTAGCCTCCCTTCCCTGCCACTGCCTGGCCCCCCTCCGGCTTCCCTGGGAGTCTTCTAAATAGGGGGGTGGGCCATAGTGAGACTGTGTCCTTCTTCAGGGCTGGGCCCTTAGTTCATGAAGGCTGGCCCACAGCTCCAAAGTGACTAAGCCTTTAGGCAAAGCTGCACCAGCTTGCTTCCCTCCGGGTGCTAGGGAGAGAGGGGGTGGGATGTCATTCTCACAGGATGGGCAGGTAGAGCCCTTCAGGGGCCGCACCACGTACAGAGGATGCTGTGGTGTCTGAGAGCTAAAGTGTTCTGACCCAGACGTCTTCCCTGATCTGCCCACCGTGGCTGAGCTGGGAGCCCAGAGGCCCCTGTGAGGAACACCCACCTCTGAACTCTGAACACTGGCTGGGTGGACCTGAGTAAGGGTGGAGGGGGTTGAACTCAGGGAGGTCACTGATCCTGGTCTCTGACCTCAGGTGCCCTGCCTTCCCAGCAGACACTACCTAGCCCCGTTCTTCCAAAGTTCACACTAGACAGAATCCTCCTTTGGGCCTGGGGCCATGGGACAGCCATGACCAGCAATGCATTGCTTGTCTATGACTGGTCAGTCACCCAGAGCAGTGAGGACAGGGGGTGTGGCCGCAGAGAGCTCTCTGGCCCCCGAAAGGTCCACTGAGGATCCCAGCCAGTGCCCCACGAGGGGGAAGCCTGATTCTGGTTTCTCCCACAGTTTGTGGAAAGTAGGGGACCCCTGTAGGCCAAGGAGGCCCTATGCAGGCCTTCAGGCACAGGCCTTGCTCCTGTCTTTGGGACCAAGGGCCATGAGAGAGGGTCTCTGAGAGGATCTGGGACAAGGAAACAGAGTTACGAGACCCCACTGAGGGCCTGTCTGAGGGAAGCAGGCCACAGAGTGTGTGTGGCAGCCTCTGGAAAGGAACATGCTCCCCATCACATAGTGCATCCTCCTGAGGCCTCCTACTGCCCCTAGGCACGCCCTCCACACAGAGACCAACTGGGGCAGGGGTGCAAGGCCCTGGGGAAGCAGGGCGGACAAGACCCAGCTAAGGATTCCAGACTCCAAGAAAGAGACGTGGAACCACCTCAGGAGAATGGGGAGCAGGAGGGGCCCAGAGGCCAGTAGGGAGTCTCCAGTTCAGGTGGCTGGCGGTGTGGGGGCGGGTAGCTGAATTACCCAGAGCACCTCAGGGTCATGTAAGGATTAGAGGAAAAGAGAACATAAAAAGAGTCATTCGTGAAAACAGACAAGTGATTACGTAACTACAGAAAATCACAGTAGAGAGAACGT